AATGCCCCATGGCCTCTCCCTTTATTCAAATAAAGTTACACGACTCCTCTGTCTCCTTTTTGTACATAAACCTCTGATGTTTGTAGATTAATTTTCCTGACAATCTGTTTCATGGTTTCACATACAGGAGACTTCCTTTGTCCTCCCTGTTTTGTTTCAAACGGGCTGATCCAATGTAACATTCAGGAAGAGGGTGAGGATACAGAATATTTCCCAGTGAGAGTGTCCCTGCTGTCAGCATTTTTCACCTACCCAGCTGAAGCAACCTCAGGTTTTGCCGGGGAGGTTTAGTTTGGATATTAGAAAAAAAATTCTTCACTGTAAGGATAGTCAGGCACTGGCACAGGCTGCCCAGGGCAGTGGTAGAGTCACCGGCCCAGGAGGTGTTAAAAAACATGTAGATGTGGCACCTGGGGATGTGGTTTAGTGGTGGGCTAATGGCTGGACTTGTATGGAAAATGATACTATGAAAAGCCAGGGTCCATAAAAGAGACAGAGGAGTCCTGCAACTTTATTCAAATAAAGGGAGAAGTCCACCAGGGCACACACCCATGGGGCTGTCTCTCTCGAGGTCACAGCCTCCTTTTATCCCAAACTCCCGGCTGCACGTTGCCCTCTTCCTTTCCCCATTGCTGAGGTACTAGGAAGGTAGAGCCTTCCCCAACCACCTGCCACATATTCCCCTTGAACTTGGCATTTTACCCCAAAGTTCAGAAACTCAACCCGTGCAGACTTGTCTGTTTCAGGAGTCAGGCTGTCTGGGCTCAGTAAGAAACCTGCTGCTTGAAGCTGGTAGAGACATTAAGACCCATTTCAAAGATGTTAATTTCTTAAACCCATCCCCTCAACCATGGAATTGTTTGTATAGCCATTAGTACCCCTTTCCTATAATAAGGAACTGTTACCTGTGACAGAGTCCTGCTGTCCAGGCCATGGTTGAATACATGCCTGTCCCGGAGAAGCAGAGAATTAATTCCTTGTTCTGTTTTTCTTGCATGGCCTTTGCTTTCCCTGTTAAATTGTCTTTATCTCAACACATGAGTTCTCTCACTTTTACAATGCTTTCCCCCATCCCACCAGGGAAGGGGTGAGTGGGGCTGAGCTTGCAGGCTAGGGTTAAACCACAACATGCCTGTGAACATAGGGAGGATTTTCCTGTCAGCTCAGCAAACAGCACTGATCCCCACAGGCAGCACGCAGGAGGAGCACAGATCATGGAATAATATAATATTATTATAGCAATAATATAGCAAGTGTGGGGAGGTGTATTAGTGATGAAGTTTATCTCCTGGTTTAATTTTTTTTTCTCTTCTTGTTGCTAAGTAATGCCTGCTTGAATTTTACCCAGGGAATCCTACCACGATGTGTTATAGACACAGCTCTCAAAGAGCTTTAGGCACCCAGCAGGAGATCCCAATGTCTGGACAGTTATTTTTATCAGCTGACAGGCATTTGAGAGTTGAACTCCCAGGAAAATAGAACTATGGATTGTGGAATATCACCTGGCACCTGTCAGCCTGAATAGTGAATGAGTGCTGACAGTGTAACTTCTATTACATCTCACCTGTGCATGATTCTCATGACTTCAGGCCCAAAAATAACTGGTGCCAGAGCTGTGCACCAGCAGCAGTCCCTTGTACATCAACCAAGTATTTTAACCTGTCTTTTGTAACTAAACCTTTGCACCAGTTGAAATGTTACTTAGCATATGTGCCAGGTTGAGGTACCCAGCAAGCAATGTCATGAAGCAGAAACACAATTGACTCTGTTAGCTTAAAATCCAGGCCCTGGCACAAATGTCTCCTATGCCAGCTGTGCCACATCAGGTCTGTACTGGTGCGGGGCCTGTTGCTACGTGAACAGAATACGGCTCTTCACTGCATTTACCTATTCCAGCACAAGCTGCTCTCAGTGAAAAGAGTGAGATACACACACCAGGACTTTTTCCTCGACTGGCTTTGTCAGATGATCCACAGAAAACCCAACCACCCACAAGAAAAGGCAGGAACTGATTTGCCCAACAGCTGCCCTGTTGCAAGGCTCCTCCGAAGGCGAGGCAGCAGGAGCCCATCATGGAGGTGTTGAGTAGAGTGGGAACAGCTGGGCTGTAATGTCCAGTGTCGGCACATTTGAGCCCCAAGTGTCAGCAGAAGAGTGGTTTTATCTCAGTCAGGAAGTTTTGCTCTCCGCCTGCCAATTATCACCTCACCCCAACATCTCTGCCGTGGTTTCACCCATGTTTTAACCAGTGCTTGCTGCAGCCGGGAAGGGCAAGGTAGACCCCTGCCCCTCCTGATTTTGTGATGGCAGCAACCCTTGCCTCACCTAAATCTTTAAGCCAATATGCAGATAGTCTCATCTGTCCTTCTTCCCAGCAAGGTGCAGCTTAAGAGCAAAGTGCTTGCATTAAAGCTTTCCTGTCTATTGGGGAGAATTCTACTGCCTGCACAAAGCCAGAGGCTCGGGAGGGGCATACACTTGTACAGAGATATTCTTGGGTTTTGGGGACCATTTTTAGCACTGCCAAACCACAGAGACTTGATGCAAAGGGTAGCCATATCAGAAGTGCTGTTCCAGCAGGCTTCATGCCTCAGGGGACTTTCCCGGATTAGAGCAGCCTGATCCCTTTTTTCGTTGTTTTTAATACTTAAATGCCAACAGCACACAGGTGCCTGAGGAGAGGTGCCACTCTCACAGCCCGGGCTGTGCTCCCCCTGGGACAGCAGGTGATGCTAGAGGCTGCAGGAGTCCAGGGCTCCATCTTCTGGCCAGTCCCAGCCTGCAGGAATCCACCTACCCAGGGCATAGCTTTGGGCACCACAGTATCAGAAGGATCTGAACTTACTGCAGAGCAAAGGAGGGACACGAGGATGGTGATGGGTCTCGAGGGAACTAGAGCTTTATGAGGAGAGGCTAAAGATACTCGGTTTGTTCAGCCTGGAGGAGGCTGAGGGCAGAGCTCACCGAGGGGTGCAGCTTCACCCCAAGGCCCAGCTCTGATCTCTGCTCTCTGTGACCAGGGACAGGACCAGGGATTGGCTGAAGCTGTGCCAGAGGAGGTTTAGGTTGGATATCAGGAAAGGTTCTTCCCCCAGAGGGTGCTGGGCATGGCCCCGAGGCTGCCAGAGCTCCAGGAGTATTTGGACAGCACTGCCAGGGATGCCCAGGGTGGGATTGTTGGGGTGTCTGTGCAGGGCCAGGGGTTGGACTGGATGATCCTTTTGTGTCCCTTCTGATTCAGGATATTTTATGATTATAGAGAAGCAGCTGTCTGAAAATGAGCTCTTCTCGTCCTGTGCTTCCCAGGGTCTCATAGCATTGCAGCAGGTGACTGTTGATTAAATTATTTTCTGAGTGTCTGATATCCCTGTCAGCCCTGCTGAGCCCAGGGATATCTGGCTGGGCTCTACCTTGGCTCATGCCTCAGAAGAATAACTGTTCACAGTGTTCTGACAGTGAACTCACACTTCTTTTTACAAGCTTCAGGGCAGGAAGGGGCCAGCCTGTTTGCCAGGTTCGGTTGCAAAGCCCACAGAGAGAAAAATCATTCTTTGTCTGTGCCAAAAGTACAAAATTACAATTAGAAGAATGTTGAGTTCCTGAATGTGGACACTCACGATGTGCGATGATTTTTCTGATACTTTGTAATGTTTTATAAAGGGTTTTGAAGTCCTGTTTCCACGAATCACCTGGAATTCTCAACTTCTCTTCTAAAGTCTGTGGTCACATGGCTGCAGAGAAGCACAAGCATCTCAACCTCAACATTCAGCCATTGAAGGCAAAGAAGCGCTTCTTTCTTACTTTCTAACTTTCTGTTAACTTTCATTCTGCTGTGCAAAGGGGAGGACTGGATTTCTGCTCCTCAGCTGCCCGAACAGACAGTGCCGAGTGCCAGCTACGGGCTCTTGTGGAGAACTGCACAGCTCCGCAGCAAGAGCTGATTCTGACGGGATCCAGCAGCACTCGGAGTCCGCGGTACCAACCCGGCAGCTCCCACAGCGGCAGGGCAAGGCAGATTCCCCTCTCCATAAAAAATAAAAAAAAATCCACAAATTCTTTCTTTTTGCTGATGCAAACCACAGGCTGCAGCAGCAGCTTGCCGTGAACTGTGTCCGCTGGGCTGAAGGTGGTTCCGAACCGGGCTGGCACCGGCCCGGGATGGTCCCGCTTCCACCTCCGGCTGCGGGCCTGTGTGGAGCCGGGGGCTCTGTGCTCTCGGGGCGCTCCACTGCCAAGGCTGAGGGGAACAAATCCGCTTGGTGTCCTCACCCCAGGAAAGGCCGCGTAGCTCGGGCTGTGGGACGGGCCCGCGGTGCCCGAGCCCCCTCAGAGGGGGTAGGAATGAGAGAGAAGCGCTGCAGGCAGAAAAGGGAAGAGCGGCTTTCCCGGGTCTGGGTGGGGGCCGGCACTGTCCCACCCGCGCCGGGCAGGCACAGCGAGCACAGGGACGCCCCTACCCGGCACCCTATGGGCCGCGGGACCACCCGGAACCCCTCAGGCCGGGGCCGCTCCCGCCTGCGCCGCGCGGGACACGCCCCGTCCGCAGGTCCTGGCAGGGCCGTAGCGAGCGCGGGGCCGGCGGCAGTAGCGGCGGGGAGCGGCCAGGCTGATGCTGCCTGCAGGCCGCGGCCGAAGGTGAGGGGCAGGGGGCCAGGGCTGGGTCGGGTCGGGCCGGGTCCCGCGGGGCGCTGACGGCGCTGGGCATTACAGGACGGCGGCGGCGCTGAGGGCGGCGCTGGGCGAGGGCGCGGAGCGGCGGCGGGAGCTGGAGCGGCGGACGGCACGGAGCCGGGCGCTCCTGTGGCGCTGGTGAGTGCGGACCTGTGTGTGTGGTGAGCCGCCCGGCACCCCTGCCCGGGCCCTTCCATCCCCGGGCGGCCCGGAGGGAGGTGGGGGGCTCGGGCGCTGGTCCCGCAGCCGTGTCCGAGACCCCGCGGGCCGGCGGTGCTGGTCCCGTCCCGGTGCAGCAACGCCGGCCGCGTCGCTGTTTGTTCCCTAAAGGGATGATGAAGAAGAGGAGCGGCCACAGCCACAGCCAGGCTCCAGCACTGAACATGGTAAGTGCTTCCCCCGCGCCGCTGCCCCCTCATGTCATCCGGCCCCGGGCCAGCTGCGGTGTTAGGAGTCATTCCAGTGCTCTGTATTCACTTAAATGTTCCCTCTGCCTTTTTCCTCCTGCTCTCTTCCTTGGGGTTAGCTTGGAGTCTTGCCTCGTTAGCCAAGGCCGGCAATAAAGTGACTGTGGGCCTGACCCAAGTGTAGGAATGTCACATGTTGAGGTTGACTCAGGAGGACTGTCCTCTTGTGGCTCACATCCACCCTGGGTCTTCAAAGCTTCTGGCAATCGTGCTTGCATCCTCTGTAAAGTAGCTGCTCCCACAGCTAAAAAAATACCCCCTGCACCATTCGTTAGGTTTTGTTTCCTTCTGAGCCACCTGGAAGAGCAAGTTAGTGAAGAAGGGAACATCCAGATTTGAGCCTTCCAACATGTTTTCTCTTCTTGCAGAAGACAGGCCTTCACCCAGGGAGCTAGAGGAGCTGGAACTGCTGAACAGGGCCTTAGAGAAGGCACTGAAAGTCAGGAAAAGCATCTTGAAAACTCCATTAGAAGCTCAGGGAGCTACAGAACAGAAATGGCCAGGTGAGGCACATGCTCCTAAGAAGGCTGAAAAGCAGCAGGTCCCTGTACCTGTTAAGGATGTTCCTGAGTGCAGGAAGGTGAGCGCTGGAAGCAACAAGCCGTTGTTGTTGAAGAAGGCCTTTCCATACCAGTTAAGAGCCCCTTACAGGACTGACCCAGATGTGAAGAAACTGCAAAGGAAAGTCCCAGCCAGATGTGTTTCTCCATGCCTCAGGACAGCTGGGAAGATTTCCTCAAAAGGAATGACTTCCAAACAAGGAAGGAGTCGCAGAACAGCGACTAGTGCCTGTGCTGCAGCTGAACCCCAGGAGACACCTGGCTTGTCTGAATCTGCCCCAAATGAGCAGCAGAGCTTTTCTGGAGGGGATTCAGCTGCAGGAGAGAATTCCATAGCTGCTGGCAAGCAGTTACTTGATGCAGGGAAGAAAAGTTGTAGTTTCCTGGGAGAGTCCAGCGCAAAGGAGGACACTGCAGGTGCATGGGGAAGGAGCACCTCACCAGGGACAGGCACCCTGCGGGAAAAGGGGTAAGTGTGGGAGGTGGGCACCTCCTGTTCTGCTCCACATTCACAGGCACGTGTACAAATTCTGCTGGCTGTGGCTGCTCTGGGGGTCCCAGCCTGGCTTCATCCTCCTCACATCCCTCTCAAGAGGAAGAATCCTATACAGTTTAAAAGCCTTTATTGTGGTTGAGTAAGTGTTTTCATTTTAAGGGCTTATTCTTGGATGGCTGGGACTTTAAAAGCCTTTCAATTAAGACTTTTGATGTTTCATAGTCCCCTGTGATTGTTTTGGAAAGCTGTCTCTGTAGAGCTTTCTTGAGCCTTAGCTTTCCTCTGAGTGTACTCTCTATTATAGCATATTGATTTTTTTATTTATTCTGTTTTTTACGCAGTGATAATGCATAATGCATGAATTTTCTCTCTTTCTCCCTCTCTCTAAAGCACATACCCAGTGCTGTTTGGAGTGATGGTATCTGGGTTTAATACTGTCCCTGTTAATCTGTAACATATTGCCCGTGTAACTGCACAAATCTGGACTGATTAGAGTGCAGTTGCTTCAAAGGTTTGGTGCAGGAAGGATTATGAAGGGAATTTTACTGAAATTCTCTGTGGAAAAGTGGCAAAATAATACTTGGAAGATTGGCTTTGCATTTATGCCTGTCTGTCTTGTTTAAGTAATCTCTTTCCTCTTTTGCTTTAAAAGAATACTGAGGCTCAATCTGATGTCCCTGGAAAGTTTTGAGAAATATTTCTCTCAGCTGCCACAACCTAACTCCTGTGTTGTGCAGGGAGGAAATTATCCCTTTTCACTGGCATTGGAAGGGCCCCAGGACACTTCAGTGACAGTTGCTGTGGGAACAGGGATCTGGATTCAAACACTTACTTAAATTCCCAGCCGTGGCCTTGCATTCCTAGTCTGCATGTGACTAACATCTCCCAACCCTCCTGTTTTTGTAATACAATTTAGGGATTATTCTGATTCAGGGTTAAGGATCATTTTCCCAGTGGAAGCTGGAATGTCTCTCCTATTTCTTTGAGTTTGATATGGTGCTAAGCAAATCTGCCTTGTCCTGCTCACGCAGGGCAGCAGGGTATGGCAGAGCAGCTTCCTGCAGGTGTTGTTTCTATGTCTGTATTCTGCTGTGCTGTGGCTTTGCTCCCAGCTGCCCACCCTGGATGAACCTCTGAGCTCTCCCAGCTCAAACTCCATGATGCCTGTGGACTCAAATGAGCAACCTAATCTTCCTTCCTTGAGGACAGTCTGAAGACAGTGGTGGAATCCAATCTCTAGAGCTGCTGGCATCTCCCATTGCAGCTAAATTAATTTCAGATTTTGACAAAACACCGTTGTCCCTGTTGGAAGACAAGGCTCAGTCAATTGCTTTCCAGCTGCCAGGATTGATCCTTCTCCTGTTTTACAGATGCCAGCTGAAGCTCCCCCTTCTCTACAGGAAAGCCTATTCCAGGAACTCCAGGTAAGACTAGTCTGACCAGTTCAGTCCAGAACTACCTACTCAGCTGCAGGGCTATGAGGAGGGGTCAAGTGTGGCTGTTCTTTGTGCTCCGGGTAGGCAGTGACCCCACAGGGTGTGGGGCCTGACCTGGGAGCAGGAAGAGCTCCCATAGTGCAAGGCTGCTGCTGAGGATGTGTTCTCCTGTTATGATAGCCACTAGTGCCACTTTTGTTTTCCAAGTGCTAATTACTATTAATCGGTGAGTCGTGAAGCTCCTGGAACGCTTTAATCGTGGGTTTCGTGGTGCAGCAGAAGTCTCTGCTGGTGCCATACACCTGTTGAAGGCAGGATACCCAGTGGGATGAGAGTCTGGATACACTATCCAATGAGAGTTTCCCAAACCATCCCTGCCCTGCCTTTGCAGCCTGGAAGCACCACAGCTGTGTGTGTTTGAGGCTGGTTCTGCTGCTGAACTCTTAGACAGAGCCAGCTACAGTGTTACTGCAGGGATGGTGCAGGTGGTTGGGGTTTGCATGCTCTAGTCCATTCTCCAGTCTTCTAGAAGGGTTTCCCACATTTCCTTTGAGAAATCTTGCTGTAGTTGAGCAGATTGCTCACTCTGTGCTTTGTTCAGATATTAAGCATAATCCTTTCTTAAATCTAACTGTAGCACCTTGTGCTGCCCTCAAGAACTCCTCCTCCTCTTAGAAGCTGTCATTTATCAGAAAACAGTTTGTTAGTTGCCCTTCTGCGAGTTATAAAGACTTTATATCCTTAATTTTCACTTCTAAATTGAGCCTTTCAGCATTCTAATCACTTTGGTGTAATTTTATACTTCTCACTATTGCTTTCAACTCAGTAACATATTGAGAATAACCTTTGCACTAAAGATCCCTTGTAGAGGATTTGCATCTTGCCTGGGAACTTCTGTTCTTTCCCGTTCCATTAACCTTGCCACTTCTTTGCATAATGTATTTCTGGAATCTGCAGATTCTAACATGATTTAAAAGACCCATTAGGCTAGAGAGAAGACACATGCACACTCGAGTTAGGCACTGCAGAACTATTTTAAGCTTCCTCCTGATGGCTCTTGCTTACTGCGGCAGGTTTTGGGAGACAGTCTTTAAGGAAAGGATATTATGGGGACTGTGCATCCATGAGGGTGTTGAACTCTGTGAGTGAAATGCATCTCTCTGGTAGTGCTGTTATTTGCAATCCTTTATCAATTGGTGGACTCTGGTGTGAAGTCCTTGCCAGCTTCCTCATGATACTGTCCTTAAATCTGTGTCTTGAATCCCTGACATGCTGCTGTCATTCTGCTTGCCAAACATACCACTTTTTTCCCCCTCAAAAAATTATTAAAGAACGTTGAGGAAATTTGGAATATGAAGTAGTTGGGGTGAGAGTTTGTCCTGTCTGCTCTTTTTTTTTTTTTTTTGTCCACCTATACTAACAGAATAAATGTACAGAAATGCAAATGACTTGCTCCTAAGAAAGGAAGGGAAGATTTGTTGTTTCCTATGGGGTATAAACACAGGCAGGACAATGGAACAGAATGAGGGATAACAGGTATTCTGCAGTGTCTGATGCTTTCTTTCCTTGTTGATCTAATAGCAGCTGTGGGAATGAATTGGGAATGGCTGGTAAATAACCTGTGAGAGAGAGGGGGGGAATTAAAGCACTGATATGCCACACTGCTGTGTCACAGCTCAGCATGAGCACTGTCTGGTACAGAGGAGTGTAACTTCCGCCTCCTGCCCCTTTGGAATTTCAGGGCATGGCAGAGATGTCGTCTGTGCCAAACAAGTGCAGATGCAGCAGCTGCGAGGACCCGTTTTATGGAGAGGATCCAGACAACTGTATCCTTTCCTAGCAGGCACAGGGTGCAATTGCTCTGCAGTGAGCTCCCAGCTGGAGAGAGTTATGCCTCGGATAAGAGCAGTTCCAGTTGGGTCTCTAGGCAGTGGGTTTTTTCGCAGTACAGCTGTTGAGCACTTAAAAAAACTTCTGATCCAGCCAAACATGGCCACAAGGCAAGCATGCCCTACACAGCTGTGCTGTGCTGTCCTCACCTTCTGCCTGCAGTGCCACTTCCCAGCCTGGTCCCCTCTGCCCTGATCCCAGCTGGCCTGGCCTGGGGCTCGGGATGCTGCACAGAGCTGGTGCTGTGGAACCTTCCTTAAGCTGCTGCTGTTTGAGTTTTGCTCCCCGAAGCTGACCCCCAGTCCTGCAGAGATAGAGGAGGAATTAAGGGGCCTCCAGGATGTCCCCTCCCATCTGAGGCAGTATGTGGAAGCTGAGTCTGCAGGTAAGGAGGAAGAAAAGGCAGTGGGAGGGCAGAAGGTGGAATAAGGATGATTTGGGCTCCAGTTCTGTGTGTTCGGTGTTCTTGGCATGTGCTGGACATGAGGGACAGAAACATTCTCTGCCTGAAGTGAAGGCTGGTGAACCCGAGGCCATGCTGAAAGCCATTTAGGGTGGAAAGTTCCAGTGCTCACACCTTTTCTTTGCTTCTCTTGTAGACCATCCCACTCTGCAAGGAGAGTATGAGAGCCTTCTGACCTTGGAGGGTTTGCAAACCACAGTGTCCCAGTGCCTGCAGAAGCTGCAGCTGCTGCGAGCAGGTGAGACAGTCCCTGTGTTTGTGGTCAGGTATGAACCTGACCTTTGCCATCTGTGTGCAGGACACTGGACCAAGGTCATTTTTCTCCTGATTATCTTTATGGTAATGGAGCACTTAATTCTCTGGTGGCAAACAAATCTGTGGTATTTGTGTGCCACCCCTCTGTGGGGTGAGCTTTGAACTGCAGTAGCAGTTCAAGAGGGCTGGGGAGGAGCAATGCAGGCCACGGCTTAGGGTGTTCTGATTGTGCCATGTGATGAGCTCACCCTGATTAATACAGTGTTTTTAGTCATTAGTTTCTGGGAACAATAAGTAGATCATAAAGTCTGCAAGTACAGATTTAACTTGTATGTTTTTGTTTCCTGCCTTTTCTTGTACACTGGCAGCTTTGAAGTCCCAGCTGAGGCTGTGCCCAGACTGCACTGGGGATGTGGGGAGTTGCTCTCCTTCCTGTGTCCCTGCCATGGGACAGACATGTGACAGTGCAGACATGCTGGCTATGCCTCTCCTTTGTTACTCCAGTCTCCAGGAGCTAAGGGACCTGTTTGCCCTGAAGGTGCAAGTGTCAATGCTGCACCAAGAGATTGCCTTACAAAAGGTGAGTCTGGAGCAGTGTCAGTGCTTCCAGAGCAGAAGGGGAAAGAAAAGGACAATTGTGGGGCAGCAGCTGCTGTACCAGGTGTTGATGGGCAGCAGTAGCATAGCAAGTTCCCCCAGTGATGTTTCTGTGTTTATGCCTTGTTCTTTTTGTTGGTGAATGGGACTTTTTTTGTTGTTGTTAGGGCCAGAGCAGAGGCCATTACATGCTTAAGCCTCTCCTGAAAAGATTTTATTTATCTGTTCTGAAAGAATTTGGCAGTGGAGGATGTTGTTGGTAATGTCCCTTTTGTCAGGACTTTACAGCCCTATTAGGGTACCCACTCCCTCATTCCCTCCGGTGTGACTTCCAGCTGGTGAGCTCCTCTGTTCTCTGTTGCTTTCCTTTTAAATCTCTAACCACTGTGCTGCTAATCTTGTTTTTACCATTCTGACACTAAGAACAGGGTAGGAGGTGTCAGCTTCTTCAGCAGCCTGAAGAGACAGTTTGCCACACAGGGATTACTTGTTCTTCTCAGCTAGCAGCAAAGGGCAGAGAAGATCTGTGAAATCAAATCTACTCCTTTGACCTATTCTTTGCCATTGACTTGAATGATAGAGGCTTTGGAAAAGTAATTTTTTTGTAAGCCAGAGAGACATTATTAATAACTGTCTGCAGCCCTGTGGCTGAAGACAGATTGCTATCTGACTTCAAATGGGATTTCAGCATTATAATCCTGAATTATGGATTATGAAGGGTTTGGGGTTTTTTTTAATCCACCCAAAATGAAGTGGCGACCAAAACCTGATTCCTGCAGCTCTGTTGGCTGTCTCAGTTTGTTCTGCACATGTACCCACATAGGTGCTTTGTGCCAGGTGAGCCCTGAGGGTCTGAAGCAGCTCTGTGCAGGGTGTGCAGGATAAGTGAAATTCTTGGGATAGGTGAAGTGAGTGGACATGGAACAAAATAAATACCCCAGAAAAGGATGTACCTCTTTCTGGCCCAAGCCTTTCCATGGAGGAATGCCAAGTATCATAGAAATTCCTGGTAGCTCTTAGCCTCTCTTTGATGGTGAAGATCTGTTTCTTCTTAGGTATCAGGAGCAGGACAGGTGGAAGGAAGTGGAGCAGTGCAGTCCTCCTTCATGTGCCAACTTTCTCCTAGACAGCTTTCGTGTCTGTAGAAAGAGACTTCCCAGAGATGAGCAGCTGTGTGCTGCTCCCCTGTTCCTGCACAGAGACTTGTGTAGAACAGGAGAGGGAGCCTCCTGCAGATACCCTGTACTCTTTTCTGTTTGGGTCTTCCTCTATATCCACCAGGGAGCAATGATCACAGAATAACTTGAGTTGGAAGGATCACAAGTCCAACTTCTGGCCCTACACAAGCCCAAGAATCCCACCCTATGCCTGAGAGTGTTGTCCAAACACTCCTGGAGCTCTGGCAGCCTTTAGGGAGGTGGCTGACACATGCAGTTGTCTTCTCTCCTGGGCAGGCAGATTGTGCAGCAGGCTGGGTGGGTTTTGGTGTGCAGGCTGCTCAGACTTCATAACCTCATGCCAGATGAAAAAAGAAAGAAAATTAAAATCCCGGGCAAAATGTCTGAGCATTAATTCAAGAGTGGGACACCAAAGACCAGCTTTTGTCCAGTGGTTGAAGTGACCTGTGAGTTGTCAGTCAATCCCAAAGCTGATACTGATGCTGCACTGGATTGTTGGACAGCATGGGCTGAGATCCCAACATAGGCTTAACAGAGCAGCAGCCAGGCCAAAGAATGTTGGACAGCTTGAGCAGTCCCTGTAGCCTGTTTGGGCTGGAGTTGGCCACTTGCACCTCTGGCACAACTGGGGGGTGATGGGAACAGTCCTGAGTGAAAGGTTGAACTTATCCTTGGGTGAGTGACCACTTCACTGTGTGGCTGCAGAGCTCCTGAACCAAGAGCAGCTTGAGTTTCTTGCAGGATGCTGATCTCATCCCAGTACTGGGCCTTCTCTGCAGCAGAGCAGCAGCACTGCCACTTGTCTCACTGCTCTGGAAATGCTCGGTGGCTGCTGAGGTAGCTCATGAGCAGAAAATGAACCACTCTGCCTTTATTAAATATGACAAAAGAAAGTATCCATCAATCGGTCAGCCTGTTATTAGTCATACTGCTCTGATTAGATTTCATTTGTTATGCAGCCACTTCAAGGAATACTGGAGTGCTGCTGGCTCTGGTGACAGTGTCTCCTTTGTTCCTGCCTAGGTGATGATGGCAGAGCTGCTGCCTGTCCTGGAGCCCAGGCGATTCCTGGAGGGATCTGCAGGGCTGTTTCGGGCCATCCACACCCAGCTCTGTGGGGGGGGGCGGCGCTTCCCTGTGCTGGTGAGAGATGAGCTGCTGGACTGAGCTGGGGAGCCTCTGCTGGTCCTGCAGGAGTCAAAGACAGCTCTAAGCAATAAATCTTTTCTATGAACTTCTTTACTCTGCCTGTTCATTCAGCTAAATTCCAGGGGGTTATTTTCGTTATGGGCTTTTTTAATTTTCTTTTTTTTTTTTTAATTTCCTTTTGTACCAGGAGGACTGGAGCCCCTCTGCTCTGGAGACAGGTTGGGAGAGCTGAGGACGTTCAGCTCCAAGAGAAGACTGCAGGGACACCTCAGAGCCCCTTCCTAAAAGGCTCAAAGCCCTAAAGGGGCTCCAGGAGACCTGGAGAGACACTTTGCACAGGGGGAAAAGGACAAGGGGGAATGGCTTCCACTGCCAGAGGGCAGGGATAGATGGGATATCGGGAAGGAATATTGGGATAGATGGGATATTGGGAGGGTGGGCAGGCCCTGGCACAGGGTGCCCAGAGAAGCTGTGGCTGCCCCTGGATCCCTAGAAGTGCCCAAGGCCAGGTTGGACAGGGCTTGGAGCAGCCTGGGACGGAGGAAGGTGTCCCTGCCCATGGCAGGGGCAGGAATGAGAATGAGTTTAAGGTCCCTTCCAACCCAAACCATTCCATGATTCTGTTGTGCTATATCACTTTCCTGACCTTTTAACTGAGGTTTTGTGAAGGCCCTTCAGGGCTTCAGAGACTCTGATTTTGGCTTTTTTCCCAAGGCTGTCTCTACCAAGCTCTAGATTCATGACAGCCTCGGTACAGCAGGCTCCTGGATGCAGACAGTGTAGCAGGGAATAAACATTGTTTATACTGATCAGATGGCCACAGGATCATGGGTCACGGCCTTCCAGCATCCAGAAATCCTGAGAACCTGAGCTGCTGCTTCCCTAGTACTCTGTTCACCAGCTGGCATAGAGGGTCATGTAGTACTCACTGACTAATTGTTTTTGATGAAAGAGTGAGGGAAGGAATTTTGGGGGGAAGGAAGCTCGCTGTGCTTGCGCTGCGTGTCTGGCTGTGTCCTGTAGGTGGCGGGCGGGTCCCGCGGTCCCTGCTGGAGCCGGACGGAGCCGCCAATGTCCAGCCCAGCCCGGGAAAACGCAGGTCCTGCGGCAGCTCCCACCTTGTCACCGTGGGAAAAGGCCAGCTGCCGTTTCCCCCTGGTGCTGGGTTTTTGGGTGTAATCCCCAAATTCCCTGGCGTTTCAGTGGCAGGTAAAGCTTTGGAGTGAAGTGGAAAACCTCTGCTTGTGAGTATACTTCAAATTCCATTCACGAAGTGTACCACAGCCTAGTACAGTTTGACCCAGAACACATCTCTAAGCTGGTCTCTGCTTGTGTGTGTGTGTAATTTAGCTCTTAGCAGC